GCGAGTCGAGTGCCTTAACCACCTGGCCATGCCGGGCCATCGGATACATACACCAAACAGGAGATATGAAATCACTAAACAGTGCTAAACTTATACTGATGAAGTTTAAGCTAAGAAAGGACTATGGGTTGAATACAGTGCGTAAACACACAATGAAAAACGTCTTTATTAAACATCCAAGACAAACATACAACGTTTTTACTTGCTTAGAGAACAACAAACGGTTTCTTCTTTACTTACATGGTATCTCTCGGATAACTAACAATGCAATATCGAATCTAGGATTTTGATATGGGAGTGTCTATGAAAAATTTACGAACATCTATAAACAATGCATTGTTTAAATTTTGTGAATATGATCTATATAAAGGTTATATATATTGTATTTGAATTTACAATTAAAGTTGCATAGAAAATGAATTATTTATTTAAAAAACATAAGCAAATTAAACATATTCAAATGTTACGATTGAGCATTGGATAAATACACATGAATCTATTCAATGTATACAAGTATAAGCAAGTACATGGACAGAAATCAAAACATAACTATGACATTTTATGACAGTATGTAGGTTCAAACAGGGAATAATTTATTATAATAGTTTAAAAAGGGTTTTGCCTGCATTTGACGAGGATGAAGTGAAATAAATCGTTGTACGATTTCATCTGTTGACAAACTAACACTATTACAATACATAACTATCACGCACAGATCAGTCTATCAGAAGAAATGGTGGTGAGAAGCCATGTATGAATGCGACAAACACAGGAGAATGAACGTTCAGCCCCACAACTACCAACTGACAAAACTGCTGAAATACAGTGTAATTCTCTGTCGTTTGGGAAGAATATTTCACCAGCAGATTGCCAAATGAGTTGCGTTACAGATTCATTGCTGTTTTTACTATCCTTACAAAGCTGTTGCCATCTAAGTAACTCACTGTTGAAGGCAGTTGAACGTGGAAGAAAACTGCCATTTTTTGAACAATAGATTTGTCAGTGCTTGAAGTTCATCATAGTTCTTCTTTATGATAACATCTGGCATCAATGACCACAGCTCAAAGTGCGCTCGCATGTTTTCTCCAAAGCGTGGCCTCAATTCTCCAGAGAAAAGGAATTGCCATGTTGTGTTTGTAGTAGTCAGAAGTACTTGTTGCAGGGATATTGGAGCGATGCATCTGACGTTCACATATAATTCTGGAACATTTTTCTTCAGAATCTACCCCAATGGTGGATTAACCATTAGGCTGAGTAGGCTTAAGCCTAGGGGCCCGAGAGCAAAAAAAAAATTAATTGACTTTACAAAACAATGGTTTAATTGAGTGTACACGTGAGTATTTTGGATGATGTTTCAGTACTTTTGCATATATTTTTTACATATCTGGAATATTACAAATACTATTTTGTTTTCTAAATCAACAAAAAATGCCAATTTTCTAGGGACACTAGAATTACTAGCGCAATTCGATCCTTTTTTAGCATCTCATATTGAAAAGAATGGAAATAAGGGTAAAGGCTCTGTGTTCTACTTTTCACCCACAGTATGCGATGAGCTGATTGAAATGCTTGGACAAGAGGTGTTAGAGAAAATTATTTCGGAACTCAAAGAAGCCAAATATTTTTCAATATATGTGTGGATTCAACCCCTAATATTTCACACGTGGATGAAGCACTGAAGAAATTGTACAACTGTTCAAAAAATCAAAAAAGGCAGTAGCTTTCGGAACACAATCCACTGCTGAATGACCGACAAGGTTCAACGAGTGAGCAAAGCAAGGAATATAGTCAGCTACTGGATTTATCTCACGTATTTTACCTTGAAGACCATTGTACTTGCTATTCATGTTGGAGGCGTTGTCGTATGATTGACTTCTGCAGTTCTCTAAGTCTATTTTTTCTGTTTCTAAAAACATCAGAATACTCTCGGCAAGTTGTTCACCACTGTGACCTCTGCAATCGAGAAAGTTGACAAATCTTTCAATAGGACCACTCTCACGCACATATCGAAAAATGAAAGTTATTGCCCAAACGCTGAGAAGTATTCCATACTCCAGAGATTCCATTTTGCTTACAAGACCTCTGGCTTCTTGTCGCATGTTTGACTTTTCATCTGGATTGTCAGCAGTGTTTTCCAATGCTGATTTTACTATCTCGTATCCATGATCTAGGTCGGCTGTAGCACTTGCATGAGCAGACCACCGAGTATCACTAAGTCTTTTCACAGCTGCAAGATTCTTTCCAAGCTCACCCACAAGTATTTCTCACCGAAGGGTTGGAGCGATTACCCAAAACCAGCTTGAATTTACAAAATCCAGAAATAGATCTTAACGAAGGTGTGAGACTTTTGCAGTCATTGGAGGCCTATATCTCAGACCTCAGGACCAATGACTCATTTGAGGACTTTGAGCAAGAAGGCATTGCAAAGGCTGGGACATCAGTTTACAAAGAAGAAACGCAAAGGAAGCGAAAAGTTAGTACCAGGATAACAAGATATGACGGCGAAGCACACGCAACAGATTTTTCACCTCGCCAGAGTTTCAAGATTAATGTGTACTTACCGATCTTAGACAAATTACCAGCAGAGCTTAAAAAACACACTGAAGCATATAGATCTGTGTCCAACCGATTTGGATTTCTTTCTCATATTTGCAATATTGATGTCGACGCACTTAAAAAGGCAGCAAATACCGTCATACAAGTTTATCCGGACAACTTTGATTTGGCCTTTGTGGAAGAGCTCGTCCACTTTCAGAAGTACATTCAAGGACAATCCGATGATGATGTCACTGGGATGTATGGAGCTCTGGCAAGAGATCGACTGCACGAGGTGTATCCAAATACATACATTTGCTTTAAAATTTATATGTTCTTAATGATCACTAACTTTTTAGGTGAGCGTTCATTTTCGGCACTGAAGAGGCTCAAAACCTATTTGCACTCAACAATGAATGATGAGAAACTTAGTCATCTGGCACTCATGCACATTGAATCAGATATGCTTCGATCTGTTGATTTACATGCTGTTATCGACACTTTTGTAAACCAAAGAATACGGACATTTTTAAAACTACAAATGTAAAGAAAATTAATAAATGGGGTGTAATTGATTCATATAACGTTATGATATCATAAATGTAGTACATTATACATAGTACAACAATATAAGTTATTTAACGTAACTTAACGTCAGTTTATTCTATTCAACGAAGGGTGGGGCAAGATCAGGGGGGAGCCTTACTAAAGCTCAGCCTAGGGCCCGGGTGGTAGTTAATCCGCCACAGATCTACCCACTCTCCGGGCAGGTATAACAGCGAGTTCCTGCAGAAAGCTATTGGGCCTGAGGCCTTTTCTGGAATTGTCTGTACTCATACTTGACATTCAATAATGTTTACCATCCATGAGAAAAGTATTTTAATGAAATTTAGTTTAAAATGAGTTTATTAAAGTATTTCTTTGTAGGTGCAATTATAAATGAAAGTGCCTCTGTTGCAACACTTAGGAGATTTTCACTAAAGAAAAACAAATATTTTTTTTAAGTTTGTTTTTCATTGTTTTATATATTTGAAACTTACTCCTTTTTGTTTGTAATTTTTATTGGTCAAATCTGAAACACATCATCTTTGTGGAAATTTCAATTGTTTTATGTATTGCTCAGCTATAAAAATACTGCCTAGTTATGATTGGTGATGATCAGTGCAGTAGTTTCCGAGATCCGAGGTTTGGACGTATACATCGCAAACTCCATTATAAGAAGATAAATAATAATTTTTAATAAAATAAAGGCAATTACATTCATTACAGTAACTAGTATACCCAATATCATTAAGAAATGGAAGATTAAGTAAACTTTACTTAGGGAACCCACGAACATTACTCCCCTCCTAGAACCCCAATATTATTAACAAATGGAACAATAAGTATACTTTACTTAGGGAACCCACGAACATTACTCCCCTCCTAGAACCCCAATATTATTAATAAATGGAACAATAAGTAAACTTTACTTAGGGAACCCACAAACATTACTCCCCACTTAGAATCATAGTTGTTGGTGGATATTTCTTTGGAAACTGGCTCTCTGTAAACACTGCACCACTCCAGAAAAACTCAGTATAGCATCTCTACTATATAACTGTAACAGTTCATGCCATATGTTTTAGTTAAAAGCGTGTCAGGTTAGAAATGCATCAACTTTCTCTTGGCACAAACAAAAGCCAATGTTTATGAACATACAAAATAATACATAAAATATAAAGGTTTCAAGATAACTTTTTTTAAGTATGATAAGTTTATCATATAACAGGTTGTTCAATAAGTACATTGTGTCTAATCCTATAGAGTTGAACAAGTACATTGCTAATGATTCACATGTTCTATTATATTACAAATAATATCCTGTTCATAACATGCTACTTTGTTCAGAACTACAAGGCAATTATTTTGTGTTCTCAAGTGGATACTTGAATTTAAAAAAATTATTTGGTGTAATAGTTCCATCAATACAAAAAAGTAGGCTTAAGTTTAATAATGGCTGGAGACGGCTTGAATGGGTAATGAAGAAAAACTTTAATATAAGTTTAACATAACACTTGTAACTGATGATGACAAAACCTTGTCGAAACGTTGTACATTTGCTGTTATATTAAAGTTTTTCTTCATTACCCATTC